GGCATAGTTGCCAGGCCTGACTCAGTCTAGACCAACTGGTAAGTTGGGTAGTCCTGGTTCTTGGAGGCCCTGCAGTCTATGATCCTTGTGGCTGTCCTGGTGGATTTCCTCCAGGTGCCTGCCCAGCCCCCCTTGGCCATCTCCACTGCCTCCTACCTTCTGGCTCTTCTCATGCTCCATCAGATGCCGTCTGCTTGCTCCAGGCAGGGACCAGGGTGAGACCTCAACACGACCCACTTTGTCACCCTCTCCTTGCCCCATTCTCCCTTGGGAACCTAAGGTGGGCCCTTCCTCACCCTGAAATTTTCCCCAGCTTGGGGAAGGGGTCTCTGAGGCCTCTCCTTGTGGGGCTGAAAGCCCAGCTCCAGGATTTGGCTCCAGACACTCCTGGGCTCCAGTCTTGGCTCTGCCCTGGGAACAGCCAAGTCTTCAAGGGGCCCCCACACTGTCAGTCCTGCACAGGGTGGGGGTGCATGGCTCCCCCTCCTCATGGGTGTCCTGCTGGCTCCTTAGATGGGATTCCTGTGCCTGATGGGGTGATGGGGGTGGAGGGAGCTGCCACCAAGATCTGTCCCCAATAGCAGTTCCAGGTGCCCCTTCTTCTGGGCTTCAGGACCCTGGCCCTTACGCCAGGGCACTGTGTGTGGTGTGGGGCTTTACTTCTCAACTCACCAGGGAAGCTGTCCGGTTATAGCCAGAGTGTGGCGCTGACACCAGCCTGGGTTTGGTCTCCAACTTGGGGTGTAGCTGGAACCACCTGGCACCAGTGTGTCTGGGTCTAGCCCAGGCATCTCAGGGCTGAATCTTGGGGTGGGGGTCCTCGAGCTTCCCAGCCTGTGCCCAACCAGCGCCCACTGGTTCCTCCAAGCTCCATTCCATTCTTGCTGCTGTGGGGGCTCGATGTCCAAGTGAGGGTGTCTCCCCACTGGGGTTCTCTGGGGGCTCCCCTCCCCAGAGCCCGTGTTGACATTTGTGGGCCGTGCTCTTGTGGCCGCTAATAAGTAGAGGCCACCGGCCCGGCCTACCATGGCAACCGCCAGGGCCTCGCTCTCGCCCAGGCTCTCCGGCGGCTTTATCTCTGAGGCCATCTGTTCCGAGAGCAGAATTCCAAAGCCATTTAAACAGAGCCTGCAGCTCTCTGTCCTCCTGCTCGTGTGCGCACACATGCACACGTACATCAGATGAGACACGACCCCTGCAGGGTGCAAGCCCTCGAGAAGGACAGGATCAGGGGAGGTGCCTAGCCCACCCTCACTTTTTCCTGGGGCAGCTGCTGGCCCCGAGCCCTGGGGCCTGTCTCCCGCCTACCCCTTCTCAGGCACTGGCCTTCTTGCTTCCCTCATCTCTGTCCATCTGTCTGAGCCCATCTGATTTCCGCCTCTTCTCTCTGCTGCTTCTCCCTTGTGTCCCTGTGTGTCCACCATGGTGCTCATCCCTAGCCCTGGACTCCACCTGCACTGCCTCGCACTTCTGTTCCCGCACTGTAACTGTACGTCCTCTTCTCACCCCTCGGTCCTGGCAGTGCTGAACCCTCAGAAGGCTGTGGTCCCTGAGCAGCTGGACGTCCTGCAGAGTCCATGGGCCAGTTGCTTGCTCCTTCTCTGGTCTGGGTCCCTGTCTCCTCTCTTCTTTCCTCCCTTCCTTCCAGATGGCCAGAGTTGGGGGGAGGACAGGTGGCTACCAGACTCTGCTATCAGCTTCCTAGAGCTACACACCTGGGGGTGGGCTTTGAGCTGTAACTAAAGCCCCTTGCTCTCTGAGCCCCTTGCTCTCTGATGCCCTCACTCTGGTCCCCTCATTCTCTGAGCCCCTCACTCTGAGTTAGCAGCCCTCTGATACCAGACTGCAGAGAGGGGACATGAGGCCTCTCTGGGTCCATCTGGACCTGGATGATGGGCTGGGCTGTGTCCCCCACCTCAGTTACCCGCCTGGCCTGAGCTGAATCTGCTGAGAGCCCCACAGACCCCATAACCACTGGGCTCCAGCCTCAATCTAGAGGCCTGAGGATCCTGCAACCTGCAGTTTGGGAAGAGCTGCTGTCCTTGGGTCAATATGCACAGAACCCAGCCTCTTCAGGGCCTGTGTCCCCAGGAGACAGCTCTTGCCAGAGTGTTGCCTCTTCTGCCTCTGAGCAGCAGGCAGGACTGTTCATGGCTCAAGTCATCACCTCTGGGCCCCCTCCGGCCTGTGGAAGCAGGGCGGTGCCCGGGCCCCTGTGCGTCCTAGCTATTAGCAGAGCCAGTAGGGGAACCACAGGGCGCGCCCCAGGGGACATCTGGGCACACACATGAGGGTCTCCTAAAGCATGACCAGAAACGGTGCTGCTGGCCACGGTGCCCACTGCCCCACCAGCCCACTCACCTTGTGGCCCCAGGAGCCCACGCCTGACCCTTGGAGCAGGTCCCAGTCCTGGGTCACTTTGGTCCTGCAGGGCTGTGGCCTGTGTCAGTCTCACTGGGAACATGGCCAAGGAGCCCGAGGGCTTGCCAGGGGTAGACTGGCTGTGCTCAGCAAGTGACCTGGCTTCTGGTCAAGGGAAGGGAGGAGCTATAAGTGCCCCTGCCCAAGAGAGGCTGGGGTGGCTGCCATGCTTGACAGCCCTATGGGCAGGGAGCCCTCCCAGGGGCCACTGGGCCAGGGGCACATGCTCCTCAAATGCTAAGGGACCCGCAGGTCCCCTGGGGTGCTGTTGGAATGTGAATTCTGACTCAGTCCTCAGAGTTCACGCCTCACGTTGGGACTCCTGTGCTGTTCCCACTATTCCTGAGCACATGGAGTGGGGGGAGGCAGAACTAAGGATCCGAGGACCCCCAGCAGCCCCCAAGCCTTCAGAGAAGACACTGACTTTGTCTTAGCTGACTCTGCACTTGTCCAAGGGCTTTTGTCATGTGCTGGCTTACGAGGTCATTTGATTTTATTAAGGGAAACATTGCAAGTGTTCCCAGGCTGCTCCCGTTATTACTCTGTCATCAGCCTTAGTTAACTCCATCCAAGGATGCATTTCCCCCAAGATTTGGGAGCCTAGTGGACTCAGTCGCTCACCTCAGGGCCCTGGTGTCTGTGGTGCCAGGAGGGAGCCTTTTGGTCTTCCTGATGGTCTCCCAGGTTGGCAGGCCAGGGATGGGAGGTGATAAGAGATAGTCAGCAATGACTCAGCGCCAGCCAACAGGTGCGGCCCCATCTGGGGCCCTGCAGGGCAGTGGGCAGTGTCCCTGATGCCCTTGCTTTGCAGGGGAGTCACAGGAGGGTTGGATAACTTGATGGAGGTAACTTCTCTGTAAGCATATCTCTCACTGCAGATGAGGGACCGTGACAGACATGGAGGGGACCTCCCAGCCAGCCCCAGCCTCTCTTCCCCATTTACCCCTGTTCCCCATGAACCCCTGTTCTCCCATCTGCCCCTGCCCTCCCCCCTCCTCCCCCTCACTAGGCTCTAAGCAATTTGCCCCTCACCTTGCTGCCCTCTAACCCAGTGGCTCACCTTTATTTCTAGTCTCATTTGGCCTTGAGCCTCCGACCGGAACCCATGCCCTGGGGACAGGAGGGCTTTCAGTTCCTACACACCTGCTCTCCTTTGTCTGCTCCTTTCTTCCAAACCCTGGAGTCCCCTGTGTCCGTTGATTGGACCCAACAGACCCTCAGCAGCCTGGTCCTTCCCCCAACCTGTATCCTAACGTGGGCAGCTCCCCCTAGGACCACATGCTTGTCCATTTCCTGCCCAGCTGCCCTCACTGGAGGCCTCATAACAGACATGGAGACAGTTAGCTGTTTGCAGGTGGTCACAGAGCTATGAGGGAACATGGGATAGCCTGGGTTCTGTCCAGATTTCCCTCCTCCTGGCTTCAGGAGAGTGAAGCTCAGCACCCATCCCTCCAGCTTGTGTGGTAGTCTGGGGCCTGTGACTCACCACCCTCAGCCTTCATAAAGAGGCATCCACAACCCCAGGGACCAGATTTGAGGCCTCTACTCTCGAGGAATGTCAGAGGGGCCCTGGGTCTCATCTGCCCTTCCCACCGTTACAAGGATTGTCCTCAGGCCCATCTCCTGGGCCTCCCATGGAACCTGAGTGTGGCCACAGGCTGTATGGGCCTCACCTATCAGGGGCAGACAGCTGTGCACAGACAGGGGAGTACTCAGGCTGAGGATTGGATGGAGACTTGAGCTGTCTCACCTGAGGGGTGAATGGGAGCTTCACCCAGCATCAGGGGAAGCTGGGGGGCTTCAGCCAAGTCTGGTGCTGGCTGAACTTGTTGCTCCAAAGACTTCCATGGGCATCAAAGGGTCACAGGCATAGGGTGGGTCATGAGAGGTCACCGCAGAGAGGCCTAACTCACCCCCCACCCACATGTACCCCCACCCCGCCCTGCTTCTGTGGTCCCCCTCCTGACCCTCCATCCCTGAGGGAGTTGGTCCTCTCTTCACCTTCCCTCCTCCCCTCAAGCTTCGCACCTGGGTGGTGGGGCATCCATTGTTCAGGGGCCACAAGGGCCTGCCCCTCATAGTCAATGTCTGTGTTGGGGGAGGTCAAGGCCAATTAGACCTGACCCCACCCACTTGTCCTGAGTGGTCTTCAGCCAGGTTTCTGACTTAACTTGGTCTGGGGTGAAGTGGAGGGAGAGGAAAGTGAGAGGACGAAGGGGGGTAGGGATAGGGGAGGGCGAGGCAGAAAAGTGGGGAGGGGAAGGGGAAGGGGAGCACCTTCAGGACGGGCCCCTCCCCTCCCTCACTTATTGGTCCCTTAGTGAGAAGAGGCTGTGTCTCTGCCTCCTCCCACCTGCAGGCAGGGCTCATTGTCTGGGGCCTGGGGCCCCTTTGTGCGGGGAATGGAGCCTCATTGGCAGGGCATCAATTTGTGATTATTTGCTCCCTGGCCCCCGATTGGCTGCACGAGAAGGGAGCTCTCCAGGGCCCTGGACACAGAAGTTTGTGTCACAACTTTTGCAGCATGAAGTGACCACACGGGACAAGTTTCTGAGTGGAGGTGTGCCCGCTCAGCCAAGATGACACTCTGCGGGACCTTCCTGGGTGAGTACTCCCCACCACCCCACCCCTGAGTACCCCTCCCCCGGCTTGTTCACAGGTTTCTGCCAAGACGCCAAAGGGACTAATTAGCTGTGTGTCCCCATCAGGTCTCAGTGCTCTTTTCTGGGCAGCTGAGAAGGTGACAGACACACGCTCCCTTCAGAGCAAGGCCAGGGCCCTCAGAGACTGATGGAGGGGCTTGCAAGCCCGTGGAGGCTGCCCTGTCTGTGGGAGATGGGGAGGGCAGCAGGTGGGTGTGTGTGTGTGTGACCTGCCTGTCCACCCGGGACTCACTGCAGCAAATGGTTCACTGGGGCCGCTTGATGCTTGTGTTTCCATCACATGCAAAGTTGCTGTGTGTGGAAGAGACTTTAACAGTGTGTTACTCTCCCAATCAAGTGTGTATATGTGTGTGTAAGTGTGCACACAGTGTCAGAGGGTTGGTGTGTTTGCTGTCTCAGCATGAAACACTCTTATGGTACGGCCAGAGCGTGTGTGTGTGTGTGTGTGTGTGTGTGTGAGTCAGCCCAGGATGCTGGTGAGAGTGTTCTCGGTTTTGTTTGCTCCATCTGCCAGAGCCTGCCTGGGGCAGCGCCCCCCCTCGCCCTCAGCTGTTCGTATACAATATTAATGCTGACCATCGCGGCTCCACACACAACGGCCCTAATTGTCGTCTGCAGCTTTAAGGCGGGCGCCCATCTGCAGGGACGCTTTCAGAGGGAAACAAGAAAACTCTCACCCCCAGCTGGTCACCGGAGAAGGTGGTGCCAATTACAGATGCAGAAAGTTTCGACCAAAATTACTTGAAAGAGTTTTTATGAAGCAAATGAACTGACACTTGGAATGTCTGTGTGCAGATTTGCACAAGTAATTACACTTTATTTGAAATGATCTTACTAGCTAAGCCATCTTTGAGCCTGCCTTCCCAGCTCCCACGAAACACTTCCTAAACGAGCGCTGCAAGTTTACTTTTGCAAATCTGCCCATTTTTCTCCCCTGTGGCATTTGAGAACCCTCCAATCAAGCAGAGGTTGCTTCCCTGTGGATCTTCCAAATTTTAAAATTACAGGTGTCCTCCTCACAGATCTTTTATGAAATAAAGCTTAGAGGAACAATGCGCTCCTTGCTTAGTTATGGCAAAGGAAATATTTTATGATTAAAAAAAAATCCTGACAGTTTCCCCCTGTATAAGAGGAAAAGTTTTCATGACACCTTGCTGCTGTCACTTACACGCAAGGCTGGGAGACTTGGTTTGGAATCATCTCTCCCGCCGGGCTTGGGGACTGTCGAGTGCCAGTCCTGACTGCGCGAACAAAGGGCCCTCGGGCGAGGGAGCGCTGTCCAACGTGCTGATCAGATCCAGGCGCGTCTGGACCCTACCACTCAGGCTGACAAAGCTGCGAAACCTTAAAACTTGGGGCTAAGTCCCTTCCTGGCTCCCTTCCTGTAGTCCTCCTTTGTTCTCTTGATGGAGTGGGAGGGAGATTTTGAACCTTTACTCATCAAAACCTGTCTTCTGAACCGGCTCTTGCAACGATGACCTCCTGGGGTGGGAGGGGGGAGGCTCCTAGGGCTTCTCCCCAGGTTCTTGGAACAGGCAGCAGTTTGAAGTTGCTGAGCTCGTTGGAACGCTCCCTGAGCAGACTCAGGTGGATACCGGAGGCCGCATTCCGGACCCCCAGGCTGCCTGCCTCGGGAGCCTGTTGTTCGGCGGGCAGGTGTGAGAGCTGCAGGTTCCTGAGTGCGTGGGTGGATGGAGTCTGTTACTTGCCATGCCAGGTCTTTCTGTCACACACACTGATCTCTCCCTGTGTTTACCTCTTGCTTGCTGCTGTTTCCTGCGTCTGAGTGTTCCATGTCTGAATTACATGCTTTCATGAAACACTGGGTATTGTGGGGGAATCGGCTGATTCAGCACTGGCTCTCCCTTGATTCTGTCTCCAGCCTGGAACAACAGCGCACAGGGCTGTCTGAGCCTGCAGTCTGCCGATAAGAGTTTAATAGAATTTCTGAATGCCAAAGGTTTGGGATGTAAAATATCCCAGTACTTGCAGTGTGTCCAGAGGAGGCAGGAAATGGCTTTTGAAGAGAGCTCTTAACTGAATGTGTCCTTCTATGCTAATGGGTGTGAGCTTAGGAAAGAATAAAAACAACGTTAGGCAGTTGTGGCCGGGGCCACAAGCTGTTCTCATCTGGCTGATTAATATTTCATCCTCAGTTTGACCAGCGAGGGCTTGCCTTTATTTCCTATTGGTCAAATTAAGAGATTGCTTTGAGTGCATTTTGTCTTTTATTTGTTGAGAATAATGTGTGTGTAAGAACTGAATATACTTATTTTCAGCATGAATCTCCTTGGTTTACATGCAATGTGGGAGCAGCTCTGCAAGTTGAAAGTAACTGCTTGTGGAGGGTTTTTCCCTGCCCTTCAAAAACATTCTCTTAGAGAAAGCTAAATGTTTTGGTTCTGTCTCACTCATGCTTTTGGTGGCCCGAGCCCTTCAGTGCTGATTGATGTGGGACACACACACATTGTGTTCCCACATAATGTACCAAAAACTGATACTTGCTGTCTGTCGCAATCTCTGCACTGAATTTCTGGGCCATAGGTCTCTCTGGCCATCTCGCCGGCCTGTGACAGTCCATTCTGTGCAAGTGTCTGGAGTTCAGCGTGTGTCGTGTTTCACAGTGCAGATTCTGACAATTGGATTATGATAATGAACAATTGTTTGCTAGCTTTGTCTGTAAGAAGAGGGACTTCAGATAGTAAGCAAGAATCCCCAGCTCCTGGCTACTCTCACTGACAAAATTCCTACATTTATCCCTAAGTGTGGAAAAAAAAAATCACAAGCCTGACACCTAAGAAAGTAAACAGTTGGATTACTTAAAGAGTGGGTGGGCACTTCCATTGTGTGTGTTATCAATTTTTTCTCTCCTGATTTTCATTGGCTAGCTCCTTGCAGGCAGTTTGAATAAAACTCAAAAAGATGGAACTTGAGTGGTGTGCTTCCTTCTGGCTGGGAAAAACTCAGAGGTCTCAAGGTGTAGGATACGTGTGTCTTCAGAGTGCTCAGGCTCTCTGTGAGAGCATTTAATGATTTTCAGACTGGAAACAAAAAGGAAACGTATGATAAAGGCAAAGTCTCTTTTCCTCACCTGCTCTTTGTGTATATGACTCTTTTTTGGTCTGTGACCATAGGAACCTTATGCACTTAAAAAATATATACATATCCATTTAAGTCACTGATACTTAGATATGCAGATGAGCTACTATGCACCCCTCCTGGCTCATCTGAGTAATAAATTCTGCAGTCCGCTCTTTATGATGGTAGGTCATATTCCTAACCACCAATAAATATTGTAAAGTACTTTCGCTGCAGCCGTGCTAACCCAGGGCATCTGTCATTCCGGTTGCTGCTATTAGGAATTATTGGACTGAACCACTGGTGGAGAAAGCAGAGGGGGGTGAGCCTGGTGGTAGTGACGTGTACTGCCCTTTTGTGTGTTTTGCATAAAAAACTCCAAATCGTGCTGCATATTAATTATGAATCAGTGTGGGCAAACGCGGGCACCTTCTGCTGGCTGAGGCTTGGAGCAGGAGACAGGGGCTCTGAGGGCCTGGGCACCTCTCGCTCCCCGTCAGCAGATCCATCTTTCTGATGCTATACTGTAAATTTATTTCACCTCGGAGAGTAAACAGATATATTGGAGCCCCAAGGGTTCATGGGTAGCGTATTTACAAAGGAGTCTCTCCGCCAGCCCGTGCCACCGCTGCTAATGAGAGCGGTCATTAAGTAAATGAGACGTCGCCTTCAGCTGGCTTAGGAGTTCGCACACTAAAGGGAGAAGATATTTAATTGAAACCCGCACACAGGCTTCCCCACATGTGACCGCTGGAAGCGAGGCAGCCGCCTCGCCTCTCCTCCCGTCCATCCGCACCCCCCATGTAAATTTCATGATTGCTTTCCGTGATGTCATTTTGAAAGAGGACAGACAATAGCTGTGGGGAAAGGTAAGTCAATGTTACGTTCTTTTGCTGACAAAGGCAGATGCCCAGTGCTTGGCTTTTCCCCTCGGGTGGAGACGGGGAGAGGGCGCGCGCAGAGTTAATTTCTAAGATGAAGGCTTTCTTTGCTGGAAGAACAGGTCTGAGGATGGCTTTTTAAAGCCGCTCTGTTGGACCGAGGCTTTCTCCTCCTCCTGGGTCTGCCGGCGGCTGTTTTCCTCCCTGTTCTCTGTCCCTCCTTGGCTTGCTCACGCGCTTGGCTTCTCCGAGAATTTAGTGAACACATTGTGCGTCTGACAGAAACGACATTGGGGGACCTGGTGTTGAGACGAAAACTTTATGTGCTTTTCTGGAAGAGGAACACAGATGTATCTGCAGCCAGGGGACCTGGCAGCTGGATTCCCTGGGAGAATGCTGGCTCCTTAGGCAGAAGACCGCTCTGCAGCGGGGACGCCGTCCGGACCGCGTTTGTGCCCCCACCCAAGACGGAGTAGAGATGGTCATGTGAGCGCCCTGTCTTTGCGTGTCACATATTTCTAAACTTAAGGGTGCGTGTCTGTGGGATAGACGCGCTGTTCCGTTAGGCTCCTTTTCTAGCTATGTGATCGGGGTCACGAGTGTGTTTGTTTATGGCGCTAGTAACTGGATTTTTGTGTTTAAAACTACAAATCAGGCTTAGCCAAGAAGTCTGTGTGAGCCTTGAAAGATATGATGCCTTTGCCTCTAGGGTGATGTGCTCTGGGCCGTGGACTTTGTCCGCTGGATTCACTTTCCTCTTTGTGAATCAGGAAGATAAACAAGCCGCCAGCAGCTCCTGGGTTATGGTGTGGCGTGCCCTTGTCGCGAGAGTTGCTCCTTCTAAGTCACAGAGGGCTTCTCTGCTCTCGGCATTACCTTTGCATCCAGGGACATCATTGGCTGGTAAAGTTGGGCTTTAATTTCTGAGACAAAACCTCTGAGAGGAGGGTCTGGTAGCAGGGTATGGGCTCGGTCCTGAGCC